TGGAAGTGAAAAAGAGCTAAGAGAGACATCAGCTGAGATCCTAGGATCTTTGGTGAATGGAAAGTCAAGGCCGAGGCCTGGCGCAGACTTAAAGGTGCAGTGTGTAAATTTTAGCGGCATCTAGTGGTCAGGTTGCGAATTGCAACCAACGGCTCAGTCCCCCGCTCACCCCTCCCTTAAGAGAAGCTACGGTGGCCGATACAGGACTAAGATGTCGTCGGTAAAGACAGCAGAGAACAATGAGATTTCTTTACAAAGGTAAATTAAGGAATTGTATTTTTTAGTTTACTCGCCAGACTGATAGATATATATATGTATGTGTATGTTTGTTTGTAAAATGGCACAGTGTATAAATATAATGTATAAATATCTGAAAGTACACTTAGCATCAGTCAGTCAAGCATTATAATATGATAATCAATATTATTTAGAATTAAAACTTGATAACCATGTATGAATGCATATTAGTCATTTTAACTGAACTTCGGACTGGCGGTGATGCTTTTTTGGTCATTCAGTGTTTCTGTAAAAATTGGGGAAAAACTAACAAAAATACTTATAAGATAATAATGATACGAATTCTACTAATAAGAACAATATAAAACGCACCAAGGATTAATGAGCTACTGGATTCATGAATATTAATCAGGTTGTGTGCGTTCGCTCGAACTGATTTGCTGAAATCAAAACAGGGACGATAATAGGCGAGCGCCAGCCAATGAAGGAGGGGGCTTTGTAGAAAACGAAGCGTTTGAGAGAGGCGGGGCATAGAGGACTTACAATAATGTACAGTATTTGAAAAATAATGTGTTTTTTGAACATTAAAGCATGTCAACATATTCTGTTACACCAAATACACAAAATAATGATCTTTAAAAAAGCATCATATGACCCCTTTAACAGTCCTGAAATGTTTTCATCAACACACCCTTTCTGAGGCACAGAGTGTAGGACATAAGTGCACTTTTATCAGAATGGTTTCTCCTTTCAGAATGTGTGGAATTCAGTGACTGTTAAGAGGCCATTCTTTCCCCTACTGTGGGTTGTTACAGCTGAACTTGTAATGAACAGTTCAGACTACAGGTGGTCCACAGGCTGAGTTTTAGCTCCAGTAGTGGATTATCTTGAAACTCATTTGGTCTTTGATTGGTCATAGGCTGTGCTCGGTCTGCTCCTGTCATCTCTTCGTGTTTCCTGCATTCCTGGAAGAGACTAAACTGTCCTCCTGCTCTGGTTTCTGACCCCTTTTAATGTAATTAGTGGGATTTAGTCAGCTGAACTACAGTTTTAGTGACCATTGAGTGACACAACTGACCATTGTGCACAATGGAAATTTGACTTCTACAGTGTTTACTACTTATATTATCATGCATAGGTTGGACTTCAAATCAAACATTTGTTTCTTTTTTTGTAAGGACTTCATAATTTCTTCCTCTTCACTGTCATGAGAGCATCTTTTGTTTACTGCTCATTTCTCTGTAATTACAGTTCATACAAATGCTTTGTTAAAGAGCTTCGTCTTTAGAGTTCTTGCCAAAGTTTTTGTAAGAGCATCAGCTGGGTTTATTCAGCTGGTGATTTATACAAAATCACTGTTCCTTTATCTTCTCACCAGTTATTTGGCAGGTATTATGTGTTTGGAAAAGAAGTGATAACTTACAATTAACCTAGTAATTTGTTTTGACTACATTTATCTTTGTAGGAAAAATGACTGTGTACATTGAAGTATCTGTATTAACCAGTAGGTGTCACAATAACACCACGAAAAGAAGGCATTGAGGCAAGTACCATTTTCAAGAACCTTTAAACACATGCTTTCATAACCAGTTCATTTTTGTGCCATCTTTAATTTTAAGATGAGCTGCATGTTGCTGATAAAGAAACTGAGGTGATAAGAAGAAAGGAAGTGGAGGTTTTACTTTTAAATCCAACAATGACTTTACCTTCTTGATTTTATTTTGTTTTATTTATTTATAAACTTTGTTTAATTTCTTGTGTATACTTTCCAGTTTCCCTATAATTAAACAGAAACTATTACATTGCTTTGGGTATTTCATTAACGGATGGAAAGTAAACAATGCTGGTTTTAGTCTTACTTTTTCTGAAAGTTAATTTTTCTAAATAACCTATTATTAAAAAACATGTTTTAAGTTGTCAAGATGATGAGGATTAGAAACAATTTAAGTTTTTTCAAGACTTACAAATGTTTAACCTTTACCATGCCATTATGGCAAAATGTACGTGAAAAAAGTGGAGATAGAGATGCACCGATTGCAATTTTCTTGGCCGATACCGATTTTTGCCGATTCCGATTTTCTTTCTAAGGACTATAATTGACCGCATATACAAACAAAAATCTACTTTTCTTCAACGCAAAGTTTTATTTTCATTAAAAAAACACAAGTAAAAAGTCGGCAATAAAATAAGAACAAATAAAAAAAAATTCAAACAACAGCACAAATAAATGCAATAGAATAAAGAGAGCTATGAAACTAAGTTTTTCAGGTTAAGTAAGTTTTTATTCAGTAAGAAATACAACAGAAATGAAAGTAATCAAATGTAAAATAACAAATTCAGTGTTATTTTACATTTGATATTAATTTCTGTAATCTTCATTGTAAAAATTAAATAAAGATTAATGCTTACCATTAAAGTTATAAAACGTATTCAAAGTGACTTTCTTTGTCTTTTGGTCTTTCATTAACATTACAGACAGCAGCAGTAATATTGGACTGCGGTCCCTTTAAGAGTTTATCCACGGACCCA